CGCGCCTCGAAAAGAGCCACTGTAGTGGACATCATACGGGAGAAATCAAGGCCACAGCATGACGTTTTGATGATAGCACCGAGTAGTAGCTTCATGTTCGCATATGTTTTTTTGTGTAAACACAATGTTTCAACCTTTCGTATCATTTATCATACAAAGGTTCTAGACATTAGTGTGCTGCAAACAATACAAACCCCATGAACAATAATACAATACAAACAATACAAACAATGCAAACAATACAAACCACGTTGGGAGAAGCACAGCGAATGAAACATACTATTTTGGTAGTGGTGAGCGGGGCGACGAATGAGATTCTTCCAGCATGGTCAGCAACTTCCAACCAAAATTCTGAGCTATTCCGAACAATTTTGAGAAAACTGGTATTGCTGATCAAATCGTACGCGCCTGATGTTACAATACGGGAAGAGCACAAAAAGATGGGACATCCCATTTCAGACCTCAAATCCTTTTGTTTCTGAGCTTGACGCACGAGAACCAGTGCAACGCACTTCCCACCGCTTATTTGAAAGTCCACTTTTGCCTATGGAGCGCCTATGCTGACTTGCAGAAGGCCCAGCCTGGCTCGCTGGGGACCATACTGACCTATGAAAGACCCATTATTAACTTAAAAGGATCCATTCCGGCTTTTAAGGGTACTATTATTTAATTGTGGGGCCCATTTTGGCATTTTAGTTTTCCCCGCAATTTGCACATAATTATCGTGCCCCTTGCTGGTAGTTTAGCTTCCTACATGTAGCTGACTAGGGTTAACTCATCCGCATATTCCAGTTAGTCAGCACAAAAATTAGACTGGCATGTCATACCTGAGAACATCTCGACCCTATCTCACTCAATACTTAATATTTCACCCAACATTTCACCCAACATGGTCTCCGACTTCATGGAAGCGGCAAACTGGAAACCTTATTCACTCATGATCACAGCAGAGCAAACAATACTTAATGGGACATCACAGTCATTGCAGGTTCCACAGCATATCCAACAGAAAAGTTAATTTTGCGCCAAAATCAATGACGCCGATTTCCGTGGGAATCAAAGTATTGGCCAGGAGCCAAGATTCGTGGTCGGATGGTCGAGGCCACAAAGTATGTTAATTGCTTACTGTTTTCCGGCGTTGAACCAAGCCATGCCTAAAGCAGGAGCAGTTTTCTGTGGTTCTGGTGGTTGATAAAATTGGCCGAGAACAGAACGAGTTCGTATAATTTGGAACCGTATCATTAAATAAGCTGATGACTAAAGCTTTTATGGACGTGCACTTTAAATCAGGGTCTTGACATAACAAACGCAAATTGATCGATTTTCCACTCGGTAGCTTAACGCAAGACCCCTTGGCCCAAGCCGACTGAAATGTGCCCCATTTTTGTCAGTAGTTGCACTTGGGTAAGCATGCATATATCCGACATATTAAGCTCAGATCAGTAGTATCTGGGCAGACGGCGACTACGGTGGCACATCAAGGCCCACAGACTTCTGCAGACCGGTGTCGCGCCGCAGTCATGTGGTATTCTGTGATGTCATTGGGTCTTCATGAAAACAAGTTTGCAGTTCAATGCCTACTAAAATACGAGGTGAAACCAGACTAGATGAGACCAGGCGCAATCCCACTTGGTGTAGACTGCAGAACCTAGCCTGGTGTGGACAGGCAGGTTCGAGCTTGAAGGAACTGAACCTGGCATTGACATATGGGATCCAGCCTAACAAGGACAGGCAGGAGCATGTAACACAATGAACCAGCCCAGCCCAGCCCAGTCTACCCCACACAGCATGTAATACAATGGCTATATGGGAGACTTGTATACCCTTGAATACAATATTGTCAGACCAGACAACTGCCAAACAGTCTGACTTTGACTATGGAGTGATGTGTCAATAACACTCAGTTCAGGGCGGAATATTCAGTGCTCGCATGATCCAGTGCCGGCAACTTCTATCATATGCTCTATTGCTCCCATTTATCTGCCCACCTTCGTTCCACAGTAAAAGACTCAAGGTCCTCACATTGGCACACAAAAAGATGCGCATAAAAGGTACTTCAGTATTTGCTATTGACTGCCCTTGAACTGCCTCCCTTATCAGTCTGAGGAAAACCCTAGTTGGTTCAAGGCCACCCTCACTAATGCTTTAGGAAGAGATTTGTAAACCTCCTCCTCCTCCTCCTCATCCAAAACATAAACATCCTCCCTGGATGAGCCCTAGCATTCTAGCTGAGGCTACTGTCATAGGTGCTTAATGCTTAGAGTCCACATGTTGGCCAATTATCATTGTCTTTCTATTTTCCTGCATGTTTCAGATACCCATTGTTTAAAAGCTGAATGTCATCATGCTAACCAGCCATCTCTGGTTGCCTTGGCTCGACCCTTGTGAGTGCAGGTTCCTTTCGTCTTCTGACCACATTGTTTCTTGCATACCAGATGAGTCTACACACCCTGACAGGTGAGTTAATCATGCAAGCTGCTTATATCTTTTCTCTATTTCTTTGAGCTGTGCTTTTCATTACTGGCATGCAGTCTTTGCTGACAGAAATAGCATATTACAAACATTCACATTGAAGTTAAGTTCTGCCAGTTCAGTGCATTTTCTCCTCATGCATATTCTACAAGCACAAGTTTTAATGCCAGCTAAAACAAAATGAAATTGATTTGCATCACCAGGTTTTCAAATCACATTTGATGCACTTCAATGCACAGCTGTTGTACACAGCCCATAGTGTCCCATACTGGATGATTATTTAATTCAAAGATATTACCAGAGCTACTATTAGCAGCGATATTAATATTCATAATATTCAGAAGGCAGTACCTTCATCCCAGTTACTCATCAGCACTTCATTATGCATGTGACCCCCATTCTCTCTGAGCATGTGACCCCCCTGAACTCTGAACTTTGTTATGCATGTGACCCCCCATTCTCTCTGAGCACTGCAAACATCATGTCAAACTTGTGATCACATGTGCTGAAGTCAGGCCAGGACAACTTGTGCTTAACTGACATTATTTTAGCTGTGAAAAATCCTTTACAGCATTTTTACCTGCAATTACCTTAGCAACTTCACTGATCATGCACAAAACTCTGGCTATGACTGTACATGCATTAAAAACATTGGCAGATACTACCGCTATTCCAGAAATGCTTAGCATAACACGTCTTATGCAGTCCAGGATATGGCAAATTTGTAAACTTAATCCACCAGGTTTTACTATCTTTTCTTGTGAATTATCTCCCCTGCTGCATATGGTTCTATATGCTCCTATAGTAATGCCTGTGCATCCTTACTTCTTGTCGCACTGGACACATTGCAATAACCTAACGGTGGAGTTTTTGGAGAATCGTTCTTCCTAACACACTTGTGCCCACCATAGGAGACCTGCACCAGTGCCACCACATCGCCAAAATACAGGTAATACAACTGCCTAGTACAACCAGATTTGGTAATCGTGCATTTGAAGTGCTGGCTTCAATCATGCCGCCTTACCCACCCTGGTATCAGGCCATGTCAGGGACAGGTATCACTTACCTGATGGTGCGAGATTGTTCCGTGAAAGGGTCGACGCGGAAAACAACGCGTTTTGCCGGCTTTAACGAGACCAACTTGAGCTGTTTTATGATGGCACTGATTACTCCACTGGCAAATCGCTTAGTTCCAGAGTAATAGACAGACATACTAGAACACGACTGGCAAATTATCTGACGACCACCCGGAATATCGCGTAGGCGCACGAACCACGCGTGCGCAAGCAATGAGCGCCCCAGCGTGGTGCGTATATTGAAACACCGGTGCATTTGAGCATGGCCGCCCGATAATACACCGCGGGCGTGGTGCAATCAATCTAAAACTACTGCCTGCCACCCTACAGGTGGATTACAGAATAAGCGCAGGGACAAAGCTACCAGCAGCAGGTCTACTGGCCAAATGGATCTGTAAAATCATCGCTATCTTTCAGACTGGGAAATGACAGTGCGCAGGGAATCGTTTTTCAAAATAAGTTAAGAGAATGTGCTGAAAAGCGAAAACGACTCAGGCCCGAAAAACCAACGATCGGGTTCCTGTCCGGCTTTAAGCTCCTCTCCCCTCGAAGTTGTGGGGCAGTTGGCAATGTGGCATTTCATCTCAGATAAATATTCTGACTTAGTTACAATGCACGGGTGTAGCCAGAGCTATATGACTAGTCCGTGTGCACATATTATATATCACTTGTGCGATTTTCAGATAAATGATGAGAACAGACCCCCCTTTGCAGCACCCCAGGGTGATGCTGAAACCTGGTGGTAGAACTGGAAGAGTAAAGAGATAACTCATTTTCCGTGGTGCTGTGACTGCAAATATATGCAGAGGGCAGCCTCAAATTGTAAAAAGATGCGCCCCAGTCTAATGTCTGAACAATGCGACTATGCTTTGAGGGACTTCCTAAACATTATTTCGCGAGTCACCATGTATCCCCCAAACCCCACACTAGTTTGGGCTTCCAGCCCCCACAACTTCGAGAAGAGAGGGGCCCCAATCCGGAGAGAAACCCGTTTGTCGGAGTTTTTCGGGCTAGGTTCAGTCATTTTTCGCTGCTTTGTCTTTCTCTCAACTCGCTTTGCACCCTTAACGCACCATGTTAAGCCGTTTCCATTTTGAGAGCCGGCGATAGTTTTACGGATCTGTTTGACTGATAGAACCTGCAGATAACCCCGTGCCTACGAGTAGTCCGTAATCAACCCGTAGTGTGGCAAGGTAGTAGTTTTTGACTGCTTGCACCACGCCCGTGATATATTTTCAGGCCATCATGCACCGGACAGCTGCCCCAAACCAATGAAGATCGGCGCGTTGCACCGCCGTTTCGGTATTTGGGTGTCTCTGACACGCCATTTTTGGACCGGTAATATGGTTCACGAGGAGGCGCATACCGAGCGTCAACAATAACCGCGAACCCATGTACGTTACGTATTTGATGCTAAATTATTGACGTGCCTGTCATATGTTATGGAACTTATGTCTTTTGAAATCGCGTATTTTGTAGAATGCTTAGGGTGGTGACTTTTTGGCCTAAAAAGAATGAGTAGTACTTGAGGACTAGGGGTATCTTTTTCTGAAAGGACCTGGTTTTGGGCCAGAGGGTGTGTATCGCCTTGGGTGAGGCCAGATCCAGAACGCCCTTTTGAGACGGTCAGAGCTGGCTTGGGAACAAAATTCCCAGAAAGGCACCCACATTGAAGAAGCAACCTATATGTTGCATTCTTTGACCTGAATGGATGGAAATCAACTTCCATCAGCAAAAATGTTGAAATATGTCCATCCTGTTACAGCCTTCAGTTTGACAATCTGTATAATCTTATATTAGTCTGAAAATATATCTCTTCCATGCACTTGTCACCAACACTGTACACATGATGGGTTAATGTGTATGATGAATGTTGTGCTTGCATGTACATAACTCAGTTCAGGCCAAATTTCACAGAAATTTCATGTAATTTGTTTACCAAAAAGATGTTTTAGAAGTATCTACCCAGAAGTGCTTTCACAGCACCATGATATCTTGAAATATTGGGCCTCTTTGTGATGGGGTAGTGGTAGTTTGCTAAAACTGAGGCTTGGATTTACAGTGCATGTGTGCTAAATTTACTGCAATGTTATTGCTGTTAAATCAGATATGTTTTATGTAATGAGTATTTTGTGCAGCATGGGTACTCCAGGATCATCTTGGTAACCACTTCCTAAATGCCTCTACCCCTTAAAACACCCTTGTTTTTTATTGGCCAAGGTGCAGCTCAGAAAAGGAGTTTTTGTGAAGTTGTGTTCAGCATTGTCAAGGCACTAGAGACATGGGACTGACATGGCTGAAAATCTTCCCTGGTTTACTCTGTGGTAAATTTGATTATTTTATTTGTTTGGCTTGTCTGTCATCTGCCAAATGTGCCCTGCTTGCTTTCCATCACTGATTAATGTTCACATTTTGGTACTGCATGGGAAAAATAAAGAAATAGATTTGACTTTTAGTTATTGGTAGGACATGTCCACATATCTAAGAACTCTCAGAGCCTTGCAGCCATCCCATTTTTGTGTTCTTTGCTTTGTACCTTTACAGGTTTGCCTGGCTTTGAGGCCATTTGTAGGCCAAAAGGCTTCCTCCCGCTCCAGCAGGAGTGATCACTCCATTTTTCCTCCCTCGCTCCCTCCCTCCTCCTGGGCATGGCCCTGCTCTTTTATGATGGGGTGCTGGCATATGTTCTCATTTTGATAATATAACTATTGCTCATACTGACCATGGTACTTACTGCTGATGATAAGTGACAGGGCTGAAACTTGCAGTGAGGATACTGTGCTGTAGGTGATTGGGATAGCATTGTCCACCTGACCCCCAATTGTGGTGTACTCTGCAGATCGTGGAGTGGCCGCATCCCTGTGCGTTCGCGCGGCTCACGCCTTGGCATGGAGTTCGCTGACTACATCCGCACGCCTAAGTGTGACCGGGTGGTGTTGCACCAGCCACTATGTGCACCAATGGATGGTACGCTCTGCCTCACTGGCCACCACTTCATCTTCTCCTCACGCCAGAGTGAGGAGGATGAGGTCTGGGTGAGTTGACCTGCTGACCATGCTGCAGTAGGCAAGTGTCCGGGTGTGGTGGCTCTCTGCAGGTACTCGCACAGGTAATCTGGAAGAGCTACCCCTCACCTACCATGACAGATGTTGGCTCCAGCTTTGTTACCTTTGCCCCACTGACTGGTACCATGGTATTCACAATCCATTCATCCATTCACGATCTCTGCTCAGCCATTTTATAATCTGTCTTGGTTGAGCTTGAAACACTGGAATAAGACTGCCAATTCCTTGACGCCATTGATTAAAATATAACAATTGTAAAACACTGGAGAGTGGTTTCACCACAAGTTCGTATGTACAAAAGCTGAAGACGTCCCCCAAAGAGTATTAACTTCAGAATGTCCTCAGTTGCTGTCATGTCTTTTTGTCTCTTACGGCTGGTATTCCAGGGTACACGGGTGTGTGTTGGGTTGTCTAGTGTGACATTTTTAGCCTGTAACAATAGGTAGAAACCTCATGTTAAGGCTTACCCTACGTCTTTCAGCGCAATTTGATAATTGTTCTAGCATTTAACCATTGTCTCTATCTTCCATAAGAACGAACTTACTACAACCAGCACACACAATTTCTACGAACAGACGCCACAAAATTGCATCATAAAAAATAGCGTTTTGCAAAATCATGTCATGTCTTGTTCAATCTGCATGGGCAGTGGCAAATCACCACTGGGCAGTGGGTAGAGCGTGTGGCCGTGCGTGCAGGTGCTGCACCGGCTGATTGACGGTCTGGATCGGCGGCCAAACGGCATGATGGGCGGCTCGCTGTCCGTCAAGTGCAAGGACATGCGCATCCTGGTGCTGGACATTCATGGCGTGGAGGAGTTCAACAACATTTCCCACACCCTTGAGGCCCTCTCCAACATTGGTTAGTGGTATGCCTGTCGCAAACCTTTCTTCCATGTGAGCCACGGCTGGACGCTATCACGGTTTTGAGGTGCGCTTCAGTTGCTTGTCAGCCCAGTTTTGGTGTGAGACTGACAGTCTTCGTTCGGTACACGGTCGGCCGCATCGAGACCCCCGCCGTGCTGCCATGCCCTGACGTTCTCCGCCGTGTCGCTGTTGTTTCCAGACGACATCCGTCTGGCGTACCCGTTCTTCTTCCGGTCATCCCCAAGCGTGGAGGACGGCTGGTCAGAGTTTTCCACGGAACACGAGTTCTCCAAGCTGATCATGTCTAGCGAGGACTGGCGCATCAGCCACGTCAACGACGACTTCAAGGTCAGCCGGTCGCCATCCCCGCCGCGATCTGACGCCACCCCTATCGTGATCTGACGTCATCCCCGCCGCGATCTGACGCCACCCCTACCGTAATCTGACGTTATCCCCGCCGCGATCTGACGCCACCCCTACCGTGATCTGACGTTATCCCCGCCGCGGCCTGACACCATCCCCGCCGTGATTCGACGCCGTTTCTGGTCACGGTCCGACGTCGTCCCCTCCGCTATCCAACCGCCATCCCCGCCGTGATTCGACGCCGCCCCTGGTCGCGGTCCGACGCCATCCCCGCTGCGGTCCAACACCATCCTCGCTGCTTTCTGACATCATCCCCGCCGTGATTCGACGCCGCTCTTGGTCGCCTCCTCTCTATGCTGCTCTGTTAGCCACTCTGTGATCAATTTATGCAGCGTGGTGGGCTTGAGTACATGAATTAAAGGGGCGAAAAGGAGACGTGTCATGAGCGGTTTAAAGCGTTGGACTGAACATCGAGATGTAACCGTGCACACCCCTGCCCCGCTTTCACTGCTGCTGCCGCTGACATGGTGTGTGCGTGGTCGTCAGGTATGTGAGAGCTACCCGCGCCGCGTGGTGGTGCCCAGCTCGGTGACGGACGACGAGCTCGTGCGTGTGGCGCTCTTCAGGCACGGTGGACGCTTCCCTGTGCTCAGCTACCGGCACCACAAAGGCGTACGTGACCTCTGACCTCTACCGGCGAGCTTCTGGCGATGAGCAGGCTCGGCCGCTCTGTAACGGCTTGTACCAGCGCGGGCTGAGGCAATAGCGGAGACGCGAGAGTCAGTCGGAACATTCTGGCGGCGGCGCATGCGACGCGTGCTGTACTGTCTGTGACCTGAGCAGACCTGACTGGGCTGGTCGTGTGACGTCACCTGTGGTCTCCTGTTTCTGACCTGAGCTGACCTGACCCTCTCAGCTGGTTATGTGACGTCATCTGCGGTCTCCTGTGTCTGACCTGAGCTGACCTGACCCTCTCGCCTGGTTATGTGACGTCATCTGCGGTCTCCTGTGTCCGACCTGACCTGGCCTGACCCTCTCGGCCGGTCGTGTGACATCTGTGGTCTCTTGTGTCTGACCTGACCTGACCTGACCCCCTCGACCGGTCGTGGGACGTCACCTGTGTTCTTTGGCCCGCTGATTCTCTCCGACCGGCCGGCAGTCGGTCCTGCTCCGGAGCTCCCAGCCTATGACGGGCAACCAGCGACGCTGCCGCGAGGACGAGAAGCTCATCAACGCAGCGCTCGGCAGCGGCGGCCAGAAGGGCTACATCATCGACACGCGCACCCAGAACTTGGCCCTTACTGCCAAGGTGGGTCGGACCCGACACTGGGGGTGCGCCACACAGCGTGTCCAGCACAGCATGGCCGGGAGGCTGCTGCTTGAAGAACACGCTGCCGAGAACCGAAGTCGACCACAATATGGTGTTTCACAAGGAGCATTAGCATTTCAAAAGATACTAAAGAAATAAACCTGACGTCAAATCGTTGTATCAAAGGGAGGGGGGGGGGGGGGGGGGCTGTGTACAGCAATCGTGCAATTCCAGATTTCCAGGATCGATGTGGTCCTATTATTTCCAGGAACAATATGCGTACCGGTCACTCGTCTGGGATTACGGTTAAAGCCTCGACACAACTCTGTCCTTGCGTTGCTTTCCTACTTCGTATTCAGAAATCGTCGGCGCAAAGGACCTGGGTCTAGGATGACCGAGCGAGTGAGTCACCCCCCGCCCCCATCTGACATTGGCATCTGCGGGCAGAACCGCGGCGGCGGGTTCGAGCCGGAGAGCCACTATCCGCAGTGGCGGCGCGTGCACAAGCCGATCGACCGTCACGCGGCGCAGCTCGACTCGCTGCAGCGTCTGGTGGAGGGGCTGAACGATCAGAACCAGACAGTCGACCGCTGGCTGGGCCGACTCGTCTCCTCCAACTGGATGTCGCACGTGAAGGACACACTCAATTGCGCCTGCCTCGTGGCCCAGTGTCTGGACCAGGTGAGTAGGGTGGGAGCGGGAGCCCGGCGTCGGGTCGTGATGTGGGTGTCGTGTGCAGGGCGGGGATGGGAAGGGAGCGACATGACAGTCGAGACGACGGGGGAGGCGCGGGTGTCCTGCACCAAGGGTTGTGTACAGGCCCGGGGAGGGAGCGACGTGACAGTCGAGACGACAGGGGAGACGCTGGTGTCTTGCACCAAGGGTTGTGTACAGGCCCGGGGAGGGAGCGGGCGGGGAGCGGCACATGTCGATTGGAGGTCTTCGAAATGACCTGTTGGCGGACCCAGTGCAGACTTCGTACTCGTAGGAAAGCTTGATAGCGGGCGGAAGGCTACGAGCCAACTCAGTGATTCATTCCTGGGCATCCTCTCTGGCACTTACAAAGGCCGTGTGCTGGCCGGGGCGGGGAGCGGGGCGATAGCTGAGACGTCGCCTTGGAGCTAGACGCCTGGTGTGCGGAGGAGATTGTACAGGGAGTCACGACGCCGATTTTCTGCTTTCAAAACGGCCTGTTGGCCGGCGAGCCCAGATGGCCCAGCGCAGCTTCACACCCGGAGGGGAATTTCAGAGAGTGCGAGAGGCTGCGTGATCAACTCTGTGGTTCATCCCTCGTCATCTTTGCTGGTCAAGATTTCTTAGCTTGAGTTATAAAATGTATTCTGAATTCGAAACATCATAGGCATTGTATCTATTCTAGCTGAACTGATGTTTCCGTAGCCGTCTCAAAACCAACGAATGTGCCGCGAAATCCAGCAGCTCTGGATCACTGGCACGCCGCGTCCCCTGGGCGCCGCCTCATTCGTGGTCCTGTGTGACTCTGCTGCAGGAGGTGACATCGGTATTGGTGCACGGCGCCGACGGCATGGACTCAACACTGCAAGTCAGCTCGCTGGCACAGCTTATATTGAGCCCAGACTGCAGGACCATCCGAGGGTGAGTCAACCAGCGAGCCGCATCGGAGACTGCTCTCGGTGGCGAGCCTCATCGGAGACCGCTCTCGGTGGCGCACCGCCACCTTTGTGGACCGTACCCAGCCATGTGTCAGCTAGCAAGCCGTGTGGGACCGCTCTCGACTGCGCACCTCCACATTTGTGGACTGTACCCAGCCATGTGGCAGCTGATGGTATGTCACCGAGTGACATCGCACATGGCTCTCATTCATAGCGTCGGCATGAACCGGCCGTGTATCTTACGCTCCTTCTGCCTCCGCTCTACCACGCTCATTGCGTTAAGCTACGCGCGAGCGTCCTGTGAAACTACGGCCGGTACGCGACGCCACCCTTGGTGGTGGTGAAGTAACCAGGCCCGGTGGCCTCTGTGACGTGACGTGACGTGGCGTGACGTGGCGTGCCGTGCGACAGGTTCGAGGCGCTGGTGGAGCGGGAGTGGCTGCAGGCCGGGCACCCGTTCACCACGCGCCACCGGCACTCCGTCTATGCGCCGCCGCTCACGCGCGACCGCGGCCACGGCATGGCCCCCTCCTTCCTGCTGTTCCTCGACTGCGTCTGGCAGGTCACGCACCAGTTCGTCACGTCCTTCGAGTTCAACGACACGTTCTTGCTCGACCTCTTCCAGCACTCGTACGCTTCCCAATACGGTGAGGCTGGCTCCGGACTGCGTGGGGAAGTCGCGCAACGGCTGCGGCAGTGGCTGTAGTTTTGCATAGGTCGGTGATTCAATCATCCTTATTTACCGCGATGAAATGATTGAGGCTAAATCACATGTTTACGCAACGTAGCGTGTCATGCCAGGTTTCATAAAAAAACATTTGTGGTTACAAAGTGTTACCTAAGTTGTTCGGTGCATTTGCGAGGAACATTATTCACATAGATTAGACAGTAGTAATAGCCTTATTCCGGGGAGAAAAGCCAGGAGAATGGAGATATAGATGGGTTGGTATATCTCCATCCCCCTGGTATTTCTCGCAATAAGGCTATTACTGCTGTGTTATCAATGGTACAAAGTCTTCATCGTCCTCTAGAAAAAGCATTTGGGAAAGTCTCATTACTGGGGCCAGCACCACCCGTGGTGGTTCTGGGCTTTGCCGGTTGTTTTACGGCCTGTCTGTCACTCATCCCCGACTTCGCGGCCCAGTGCGTCGCCAGCCGGGTGGCGTCAGTGTGTCCGTGTCAGCCGGGCCGCGCCGGTACGTCCGTGCCAGTCATGACGAGCCCCACCCTTTCCCGCAGGCACCTTCCTCGGCGACAACGTGTGTGAGCGTGAGCGGGTGCAGTTGCGTGAGCGCACGTGCAGCCTGTGGTCGTACGTGAACCGTCCAGAAGTGCTGCCCCTCTACCTCAACCCGCTGTACGAGCCCAACAAGCAGGTCATCTGGCCCAGCGTGGCGCCCATGAGCCTCACCTTGTGGCCGGGCATGTACCTGCGCTGGTCGGTCGATCTTACCAGCCAAAACAACGCGCTCAACAGGTAAGACACCTTGACGAGCCGGTTCGGGGTCGGGACGGCCGGGGTCGCGGCGGAGGGCTCGCCGGACGGGTGAGCGGGCCCGGGGTCGCGGCGGAGAGCTTGTCGGGAGGGCCGGGGTCGCGGCGGAGGGCTTGTCGGGAGGGCCGGGGTCGCGGCGGGGGACTCGCCGGACGGGTGAGTGGGCCCGGGGTCGCGGCGGAGAGCTTGTCGGGAGGGCCGGGGTCGCGGCGGAGGGCTTGTCGGGAGGGCCGGGGTCGCGGCGGGGGACTCGCCGGACGGGTGAGTGGGCCCGGGGTCGCGGCGGAGGGCTCGCCGGACGGGTGAGTGAGCCCGGGGTCACGGTAGAGGGCTCGCCAGCGAGGCGCGACGGGCGACCTGGAGATACCCCACGTCTAGCCAGAGCGACGCACTGCAGGCGTGCGAGTTGTTCGTTGTAGTTGCTTTGAGGTCTCTTGGACGAATGTTAGAATCAGCTGTCTGACAGACCAGCCTTGCAAATTGGTCATCATACTGCGTTGTTTTGCAGTGCATACATTACATTGACTGATTTGAATATAATATGTTTGTGCTGCGATCTACCATTTCGTAATAACTGCACTCCCTTCTTCGAATCTCAGTTGGGAACTTTCCGTTCCAATGACCATGTTTGATGTCATATTTATTACGATTCGTTCATTCCTAGGTTTCATTGAAATATTAGGACATTCCTGCGACCAGAAATGCGTGCGTCAATTTATCTCCAAAGCTTCTTTTTTATGAACATTTTGCACTCGGTATGGCCGACTGGTTCGATCTCGGTTAACAGGCGCTCGGGTGGGGGTCAAATTGCCTCCCCCTCGAAGGTTTTCAGAATGATTTCCGAACGGCACGGCTTAGCCGCGCCAAATTTTGCATAGCTGTACAAAATTGAATAGCGGATTGTCTGGCCTTCAAAATTTAGATGTACCTTGTAAGGTCGCTGACCTATGGCAGGTCAAAGTCAGGCTATGGTTTCAGCGAAGTTAATATCCAGGGGAGCCGTTCTATCTGATGCAACAACGGAGTGTTAGACGAAGTCATGCATCTCTGAGATGCTTTCTTAGGCAGCAAAACAATTGAATGAGCAAATGGCATTGACTGAAGTCAGGTGTGAAGGTCAGACCAAGGTCAAAATCAACCTGTTTTATTACTCTAGCGCTGGCTGTATGGGACAGTTTCTAGTGCTTATTTCGAATTTATTGATGACAAGAACCGCATTATAAGTCTTCCATGGACTTCTCAGAGGTCAGAGTTGGTCATTGGCCTAAAATGACCCAGGGCAACATTTTCTTTTTGGGAACATACCGCCTCGCATAATCTTTGTCGCTTATTCAAGTGCAAAACTCAGAGCAGTCTTCTAGTATTTTGGTCACCATGACCTTCAAACTGTTAAACAAGATCACTGGCCTAAAACGAGCATATGACCTTTTTGCTAAAAAAAAAACAGTTATCTAGGTTCTGGAGGCACTTTGGAGACCACTCTGGAAATATGCCTTGTCTGACCTTATTTGACCCAAAGGTCATGACCTAGGAAGCTCAGACGTGGACCTAAGCGAATTCACATACAGGTCAACACAGCCTGTGAATTTGGTGTCTAGCTCGCTTAGTGTCTGAGATCTCAGGTGGGGTAAAATTGACCCCCCTCCCCACACCCGAGCGCAGGGTATCCAGCCGGCCACCCGGGCGCGTGTTAGCGTTCCAGCGCCGTTTCAGCCGAGCGAACACGTATAGGTATTCGTCCACCGAGATGCACGAGATCCACATGTTCCACTGGCCCATCTGGTGTGCCACAGGGCGCACGAGATTCACGAGGAGCATGTGAAGCTGAAAGCCAAGGCGTGCAAGCTGCGCCGCCGTCTGCAGGACCTGCAGCAGGAGGCGGTCACCAGGGATCTGCTGCAGCCAGCCGCCACCCCAGAGGGACTGTGAGCGACACTGCTCGCTGCCACCTCGGAGGGTCTGTGAGCCCCCGCCCCCCCCCCCCCCCCCCCCCCCGCTTGGAGAACCTGTCAATAGTATTCCCACTGGAGGGCTTGTGAGCAGCGTCCCAATCTGGGGAACTGGAGTGTTCCTGCTGTGGAGTCCGCGTGCAATTTTCCCGTCTGGGGACGTTCTGCGTGGTGTCACTTCTAGAGGGACTCATTGCGTCCCTCCTAGGGGGACTGTAGGTTATGTCCACTCAAGGGAGCCTGCTACAGCCGACAGCTGTCTGGTAGAGGCTGTTTTGTGTCGTAATAGCTGTAGACACACAAACAGCAAGGCGAGGTATACAAGCAGTCTGGTCCGTTGTGAAATGCACAACTGTGGGACAGAGTGTCTCTGGTCAGGGCTGGTCTTGGGCTTTGCGGACCCGCCCGAAATACCACTGATTCTCGCTATTTGGTTATAGTTGTTTTAAGTTTGCGGGACTGCCTGTCGACGCGGTTTTTGAGAGTTGGACGCGTCTTATTCACGTGATGGGCTATTGTCATCGCCCCGAAGAGCCTGTAATGGTTTGAGTTCCCAGTTGTCCTGTACTAGGCTGAGTGCTATGGCGAACGTGTTAATTTGCCGCTATCGAAGTGTCTGAGAGATTTGTCTCTGCTTTCACTGTTCGTGTGCACAGCTTCCCAGAACGCGCGTGACGGCTGTTGTGTAGGCATGTGTGCACCATAGCATAATATCTGAATGGTCTGATCTCTTGGTATCGCTTCGCTCTCGAAGTCTCTGTAAGATCTGCATATGTCGGCGTTTCTTCCCGGCGTGCGTTCGTGTCGTGGCAGACTCATTTGGACCGTGTCTCGAGAGTCCTGCCCCTTGCTGTTTCTTAGTTCGCCGCCGCTTCAGAGAGACAGATCACTGTACGCGCCTGCTGACAGTGAGCTAGGCCGCGGCAAGCGCGTTAGACGGCGCTACCGGAGTTTTTACGAACCTCCGGGCCGAGGCTTCGTTTCAAGGTACAGCTTGAGTGTTTGCGTCCAGTGTCTGTGCATAATCGTTGGCGAGCGTACTTTGAGACCTTTCGCGCTACATTCCCCACAGCTGTGACGTGCTGGGTGTTGCCGAGGCGCGTCGCCCTCGCCCGGTTCACCCAGCTCATCCGAGATGCCATGGTCTGGTCTTGACTGTCTGGAGACAACTGGTGAATGGATCGGTATTTGGGAAGCGAACTGAACTGGTTTGTAAGGTTTGAACCAACACACTGAGGAAGCCTGTGTATTGTTGAAAGCTTTTTGCGCATCTACCTTTTTGCTGTATTCGACGTGCTAAATAAAGTTCGTACCGGCATAACCATTTAGGAGACACGAAGTTTGACTACCCCGGAACTTGACCACGTCACGCCACAAACGACGGCAAAATGCCAATCTAGCTTGGCAGTCCTTCACCGGACCATCCTTTGGGTGCGAGAGGTACATTATGGCATGGTGATACCTGGGGTTGTTTGGATGGGGTTTCACACATGTTGGAAGGCGTCTACGGCACCGTCCTTGCATATTTGCACGTAGCGTCTAAACGCTACCTTGAAGACTTGCACTTAACTCGCCCTAAGCTGTCCAACCATTCTTTCAGTCTGTCACTGAATAGTCGTGTAGTGTGGTTACCGGCGGACAGCCAGTGTTTTGCAGTTTGTAGGCGATGATTCCCTGTGTGGGTGCCCCTGTTAAGGCGTTGGCTCTTTCTTGGGCGCATGTGACTGCTTGATTGGCGTTTTGTCCCCCCCCCCCCCCTCCGCCTTTGTTGTTGCCGGCGCGCTACCTGTACTTCTTAGTAGCTTCGTCGAGTTAAAAGACGATCACTAATCGTGTGAATGGGTTTTAATCTCGTTAACCGGTTGGGTGTTAGACCACCCAAACACGACAGCTGGTAGAAGGTATAAAGACACAGACAGAGTAGAAGGTGTAAAGCTGGTAGAAGGCGGAAGACACTGGAACAACGCTCGCATAGTTCTAACGAAGGGTAGCGTCCAAATGGACTGGCTGCCTCATAGAACAACTCATCATACATTAACAGGGTTGGATGTCGCATGGTACACGTCTGGCAGACCCAGGTATTACACTGCGCGCCTCCGTATCAGAGTTCCGAGAGAACTCAATGGTGCACGATTTACCTCCGTACCAGACGCCTGGGAGAGCTAGATGTGGCACCGTACACCTCCGTACCAAATGCCTGAGGGAGCTGGGTGCTGTCCCGTACACCTCTGCGCCAGATGTCCAACGGAGCCAGATCTCGCGCCGATTCTGCCGTGTCGGAATTCCAATACAGCTAGAAGTCGCACAGTAGACATCGGTAGCCGCGGTCAGTAAAGGTCAGCAACGACTGGAACCCCGTTCCTCTTCGCCTGAATTCATTCCCTCCTTCGCCCAACTCAAGCAGGCCCAAACCAAGTTGAGTAAGGGTAAACCAGCCAGCGAGTTTCGATATGGAGATAAAGTTAAGAATGTTTTAAGAGTTTTAAGGAGAGTTAAAGTAAGTTTTAAGAGTTTAAAGTTTTAAGAAACTGAGTTTTCGCCCAGAGCTCGTGGTCGGGGGAAGATCAGTGTATCAATCGTAACGCATGCGCGCAAAAGCTTCGTCCAGAGTACGATACTTTGCTGGGATTGGCGTGATGTGAGTGGTGAGGAAATTGTGGAAGATATGCCAAGGGGAAGCGTGACCTACGCAAAACGAATAATTTGTGTAGTCTGGGGAGAACTAGGTTCAATCAGGCCATCGGCCTAGCACCTCGCCTGTCTGGTGCCTGAGCGCACGCAGGTGGGGTGAGCTGTTATCCAGGCACGGTACGCTGTTATATGCTAGACCGTATGAGCTGCTCCAAATGGCAGTCGCTGTGGCGTTTTTTTCGAGCCGTCAGAACGATTGGATGTGTGGGAAGTCCGCGGAAGCGGGACACGAGACGTCAGACTATACTTCAGGCGCCGTAAAATGCGCACACTTTGGAGAGGGCCACCCGGCACGGACTCGCACCTGCCGTGCATCCGTGAAAGAAAAATAGATCCAATCAAAGTGAAAGCAGGCGCGACTTACCCAGAAGCCGAGAGAGCCTACCGTGATGCCCCGCTCGCAGCCCCCACAACGTTGCAGCCCAGCGGAGCAGGTCACTTCGGGGTGAAATGCCAGTACCAAGGGATTCCACGATAGCAACCAGATTGGGCACCTTGCATAATATGACTGTTGATGACTGGTCTGACTGCTTTCACACTTTCTCAGCGGACAGCGTATGAGTTTGAATCTCCTTAGTGGTGTCGGCAAGGAACTTACTGCCATAACACAGCTCTAAGCCGTTGTTGGACTGAATTTTATGCATCCCCCTGGCGAGCGTTAGCGCATAAAGCTATACAAAAGTTTACACTTTCATTTTGTATTGATGATAACACGCGCCCGGGTGGGGGTAATGTGGACCCCCAATGATGCTATATTATAATTTTCTAACAGCACGGCGTCGCCAAGCAAAGGTTTGCATAGCTGTACGCAACTGAATAGCAGATCTTTTGGAATAAACAAGTACATATACCTTGTAAGGTCACTGACCTATGGCAGGCCAAAGTCAGGCTGAGGCCGCTAGCGGAGGTAGTTTCTAAGGAATCATTCAATCTGATGTGACAACGTCGTGTTAGATGAGGTCATGTATCTCTGATATAGCTTTTTCGGTAATAAAACAATTCAATTTTGGATAACAATAAATTTCACTGACCTCGGGTGAGGTATGAAGGCCAAACCGAGCCCAAAACCAATCTGCTGTTCTATGTGAGAGCTTGCTATATGAGGCTGTTTCTAGTTTTCGTTTCAAATTTATGAATAACATGGACCACAACATGCATCTTCCATGCACATCTTAAATGTCGGAGAATGTCACTGGCCCAAAATACCCGGAGCAACACTTTTCTAGGAACAAACCGCCTGGCGTAATGCGTGCCGCTTATCAAATGCAAACGTTGAAACGATCTGGTAGGATTTTGGTGACCATGACCTTCTGACAGTCAAATATACTTCTTATCCATTTCTTATATTCGAACAAGGTCCCTGACCTTGAATGAACACCGGTAAGCTTTTGCATAAAACAGATATTTAGGCTCAGGGCCTTGGGGGTAGGAACAGGGGGACCAGGGGGCCATGCCCGCCCTCTTTTCAAGGTGGGGGAGCCGGCAGTGTTGACTGCCCCCCCCCCCCCCCGACTTTTCAGATAATGGTTGCATTTAGATTACTTTTGCACCATATCTAACATACATGCTGATTTGCTTAGTTCACCAGTCATCTTCCTCAAGATGCGTCATCTTTTTCGTCTGCTCATTGGCCATCGCTTAGTGTCACAGCCACGGGCCGATGCCGCGCGGCTTATGGAAACTGCAACGCCGGGCGTCGAGTCTGTTGTCGCTATGACTTGCGAGCGCGCATGTTCAAAACCATGTTACATAGCTTTTTATCAGTAATCAATTTTGACTGAATCTTGAGCATTCTAAAACGCACATGGATTGGCCATGCTAATGCAAATTCGGGACCCCATTTCATTTACAATCTACGTCCAGAGTCCTCAATATCTCTGAAGAACACAGAACAACTTGGAACTGTAGTCTGCGTGATAATTATCGGACCACCTGCAGCCATCAGGAATGGTGTTGCGTCAATGAGGGTTTCTATGCCGATCCGGGGCTAACTGCGCGGGTCAGAATGCCTTCCGTGTCAGGGAGGAGACAATATGATATGATATATCCTTCTAATGACCTTCGGATCGACCAGGAGATTCCGCCCCGTGTGGCCAGAATGACAACCAGAAAACACTTCGCGATGGGACGGAGTGGCCCTTCAGCCCTTGACCGGAACCGGTGATGTTCCCCTGGTGTTCTACTCAAGGAGCCCCTTGCCCGGAAGGAAATAAGGGGTCTCATTATTGTTGAGTAAAATGGGGATCTCATTATCGCTGATTAGCGTGGAACGAAATGAATCTAAAAGAAAACGAACAAGGTCATCCCATGCTTGCCTGGGAACGGTCACTTCCTTCAGAATGGATTAGTGAAAAAATTACATCAAAAGTCATAAACAGGCCCGCCCGCAACCTCGAGCGCAAGGGCAGAGATGGCCTTTGTTGCAGCTTCCGTGAAACCGGACAGCGTCGACCACTGCAAGGGCCACCAGATGACGGGCACCGTCTTAATCTGCCTTCTGGGCGGATAAATGGTGACAGAAACATGAGCAACAGATATTCTACCTTTACTCTTCCAGTTCCACTATCAGATGCCAGCACAACTTCGCGGCGCTTTAATGGCTTACATGTTCTTACCATCGGTCTAAAAGTCGAATACATGAAATAGGCGCCCAGACTGCCTTCTAAATGTAACATTTGATGTCCTGAAGCGTACAGGGGTACCTCTTTCAGAAACTTCACCATTTTCGCGCGCCCATTGGCCACGCCTCAGCATTAGCTGCTGGGCCGACGCTGCGCGGCCTACGTTGAGACTGCAACGTCTGACGCCGAGGTTTCCGTTATTGAGATTTGCGAACGCACATGTTAAAAAACCACCTGACATGAATTGTATCACTAATCAATTTAGACTGAATATTAAATATTTTCAGACAAACATGGCTTAACCATGCTAATGTGCTTTGTTGATCGCTCGATATACATTCAAATTTTCATCTTTAAATTTCGATCAAGCATATCGATCTACAATCGACCTTCGCGATGTCCGTAATGGCTGTACAACGCAGATAAAACATTCTTACAAAGCTTTTGAATTATATCGGTTTATAAAGAGCCCGCATAATCATTGTAAATTACGGACACATTACACACACATGAGGACACACACATAAGGACACATAATACATTAAGGCGATTTATTCTGTGCGGTCGTACAACGCCTGATTTCCGTAGACATCAAAATACAAGCAGTATTGATCTTGCGGTAGCTTTTGGTTTCTGCCCTGGTTGCTGGGCAAAATAACAGTGAAACGAAAAAACCGTATCCCTTGCTAACAAGTAAGCTATATCCGGGGATGTTTGGGGGCGTCACCATAAGAGGGGCCTTTGTCAACCCTGTGCTCCCCATTAGCAAGGCTCTGGCTACGCCCCTGCCTACACACAAAATCAGATAAATTTGTCTACGTTGAATGATGGGTAATTAAATGGCCGTTGGGTCAATTCATGCCTAAGGCAAGCAACTTACCGCAGGCTTTTTCTGGGGTGGTGAAGTGAAAGTGAAGATGATTTGGAAAACATATTGTTGCAGGTGTCCAGCATGTTTTACACACCAATTATTACCACTGCTTATCCAGAAATATGCAACAAAGCAGTCATACGACCAGTTCGCAGCCAGTCATGCAGGGGACAGCCGGGCCTAGGCAGTGGCCGCCGATGGCGGACGGGGGCGCGGCCCAGGTAAGGAATATATGACAGAATGGCCTTCATTCTGTGGCTTGGTTGTTGAAGGAGATTCTCCAGTTGTATGGCTCATCGCTTGTCACATTTGTTTTGTCACATTCG